AAAAAAAAGAAATCGTCAGCCCCTGGTCCCTTTTCTCCAGTTCACCACCTCATCTCTTCCCCATCTCCCCAAATGAAGAAAAGATCCTTTGAGGGAAAATATTTGAGATGTTTAACAATTCTGGGAATGGCTACCTGATTTAAAAATGATCAAAAAACACATGAAGCTGTGAGATTAGCCTGGTCACAGTGAAGGAAGTTAGCGTGGATTGTCTGCTGTGTGCTGAGTACTTGAGATCCATAGTTCTAGTCACTCTTGGAAGATCCCATGGGTCTCGTGTGTTTGCTGGTTGGTTTCTTAGAGGTCATGTTTGGCCTCAGCCACAGGCTACTGATGTTTCATGAGGTAGTTTTTAATGAGAGCAGGAGAAAAAAAAGTAGGACTTTGGAGCTATTCAATCATGAGTGTGAAGCTCAACCTTTTAGTTTAAATGGTCTTGCTATTTAAAACCTGAAGTGACTTTGGTAGGTGCCATGTCTGAAAGTCTCAATTTTAAGACCTATTTACTTTTTTGTCCCTGTCTTTGAAAATTAACCCCTCCAAATTTCTGCTCTTTATAGAATAGTTCTTTTTTAAAGTATGGAAAAAGAAGCAGCATCTGAAATTTCAGATGGTGGAGAAGTGCCTGCCAACATACTGGCATATAAATTCTAAGTCCATTTCCCATGCAGACATTGGCCTGTAAGTTTTTTCTTTTTTTTCCAAGTTTATTTATTGGATGCCTGGGTGGCTCAGCCGGTTAAGCATCCAACTTCGGCTCAGGTCAAAATCTTGCAGTTTGTGGGTTCGAGCACCATATTGGGCTCTGTGCTGATAGCTCGGATCCTGGAGACTGCTTAAAATTCTGTTTCCCTCTCCCTCTCTCTGTCCCTCCCTGCTCACGCTATGTGTGTGTGTGTGTCTCTCTGTCTCTCAAAAATAAACATTAAAAAAAAAGTTGATGTATTTATTTTGAGAGAGAGAGAATGATTCGGGGAGAGGGAGAGACAGAGAAGGAGAGAGAGTGAATGAGAATCCCAAGCAGGCTCTTGATACAGGGCTGGATCCCATGAACTGCAAGATCGTGACTAGAGCTGAAATCAAGAGTTGGATGCTCAATCAACTGACCCGCCCAGGCGCCCCAAAGTTTTTTCTTTCTTGTTATAAAAGTAATAACACTTGTAGGAGAGATTGGCATAGATAACAAATATTAAAGTGTGAGAAATTAAAACCACAAAAAGTCAACCATAATTCCACCTCTCCAAATTAAGCAACCATTAAACACTTTGACGTATTTTTCTAGTGTTCTTTTTTTTTTTTTAATTTT